GTTGTTTTACTTTCTTTAAAATAAAATCCCAATCATAACCACCTGTATTATAGCCTGTCTCAAAATCAGGTTTGAATATATTAAATATTCTGGCAAATCCTAACAATAAATAAACTTCTGTAGAACAGCGAATGAAATGAAAATTTTCTCTTGGAATTGAACTGTATTTAGAAAAAAATAATTCTTCATTAATCGGTAATGATGTCAAACAATATCTTTTAATTGGATATGAAGAATCAATCTAGTAAATATCTATCTGAATCATATAAACAAAAGAAGTTTTCTCATGCCCATAAGGAAAATAACCAGGCCCACGTAGATCTCCCGTTTCAATATCCTAGGATAAATTTAACAACTTTGGTAATTCTATTTTATTTTCAATCTTTTCTATTTCTGATAATATTAGAAACATGTCATTGGATAGAAGTTTATCAGAAATTAATTAATACTATCCAACCAACTCAAAATCATTTTCACGCGCCACCTTTTAATAATAACATGTGAGATCATCAGAATACATGTCATATAATTCCCACCAATCATCAATCTTTTGTATTTTTTCCAGAGCATCTTTATGTTCTTTAAGATTTGAAAAATACAAACGAATAAAATTGAACTTTGAACCAGAATCAAAGGGTTGTATATCGTTTAATATTTCATAATAATAAGGATTAATTTTGTTCAAATAGAATTCAAAATTCTTTTTTTCAAGCTTGATATCAAAAAATGGATCCCCAACTTTGAAATTGAGAGAAATCTTGGTTTCATCCTCTTTCACCGCATTGATAAGCAATATATATTTTTTATTTTTGGTAAATGAATTAGTTGCATTAAATATAAAGAAGAGTTTTGAGTCTGGATCACTATCAATTAAATCCTGACATATTGTGTTCATTTTAAAAATATATAAATAAAATGCTAGTTGGTACAAAATGTATTAACTAAAATAATATAAAAATATAAAATATATATTAAAAAAATCGTTGCATAATATTAATTTTATGAGGAGATGAATAATCATTGATAAAATCAATTGCCTTTTAAAATAATTGAACGATTTTTCCTCATCTTGATTAATAAAATTAATTGCTTTTGTTAAATTAACAACTAGATTTCTATTAAAATAAGAAACCCCAGTTATTCTGTCAAATTCACATATTTCATATCTATCAAAAAATTGTTTAAATGTACAAAGATAGATAGTTGCTTTCTTTTCTCCATTTAAAGGAATTTTATATATAAATGAATCAATTCATATTGAATTTTTTGCACCTCTCTCAGGAAATGATGCTATAAAATGAAAATTATCGAAAGTTTTAAAAAAAAAATTGATCACAATCTTATCTTCTTGTTTATAATAGAAAAAATCCATTAAATAAAGAAAATTCTAATCAGTTATTAAACTGATTAGAAAAATAAAATAGAAAAAATAAAAAGAAAAAAAAATTAAAAAAAATTAAAAATATGAATTATTATTATCAAGAATAAAATTTAGAATATTTTTATATTCATCAATGCTACAATCAGATGAAATTGCAATCTTGTTGAGGTACATTTTGTCAATCTTGTTCTCATATAAATCGTAAACTTTACAAAGATATTCTTCATCAACCATTTCATAATCTCGTTCTTCTAATTGACGTCTGTTTTGTCGTTTTAACATCACTTCTTTAGGTGGTTTAATATAAAAAACCGTGAAGATATTATCAATTGGTTTAATTTTTGCCTTTTCTTCCTCAAAATATTTCAAAATTTCTACATCTTTAATATTTGCTTTGGTGAAAACTTCTGTGTCCAAATATGTTCTATCGAGAATTATGTAATCATATTTCATTAATTCTTTCAATTCTTTTACTTGCTCTTTATAAAAATCAAGAATCTTGCTCTGGAAAAATAATGCACGATTCTTGACATCTCTATAAAAAATTTTAAGTTCTGGTAAAAGATGAAGTGATATCTCCTAAAATTTCTTAACCAAAAAATTTTGTTGTTTTAATTGATCAATTAGAGTTAGTAGGATAGTTTTATTAATAAAAAAGTATATGGGGATATGTTAATTAAAACAAGGCTTATAGCATTTTTTGCAAAATTGAATTACTATAGATAAAATATTTGCCATTGTAGTTTTCCAACACCTATCGCACCAGTAAAAATAAAAATTTTTGGTTGTTTTTTTTGTTTTTTTTGAATTTTGATCTCTTTTGAAAACTCTTCTAAATTTTTATACTTTTTTGGATTAGAAGAAGTTTCTACTTTATTATTAAAAAGATTTGTTAATTCGCGCTTTAAAATTGTTTTAGAAGATTCCTCATAAGTTTTTTCTCCATTAACAATACTATCAATAAGTTTTTTTAAATCAGCTAAATTTTTTTCCTTTGAATTTTCATCAATAATAATATTTTTAAGTTTTCTTAAATCAATCTCAAGATTTAATAAATGTTCGTTGATTCGCTTATTCATTTTTAAATTTTAATAAATAAAATTATGTAAATAAATATTTAACAGATACCAATTAGTACTTGTTAGATAATAAAAAAAAATAAAGAAAAAACTAATAAGGTGAATAAACTACACATTTTTCTACTTTGAATCCCTTCAATTTACTAATCCCAATTACAAATTTATCAGCCTGTAGATTAGTATATTCTATCATTATTCTTCGTTTATTTCTTTTTTTATTATCTTTAAAAAAATTTAAAATCTCTTTCTTATTCATAATTTTAATCTCAGGACAACAACCATCAAACCAAATTTTAGCAGATTTCATTAAAGGATTCGATAATTTTTTACTGTTATAAACAATAATTCCTAAAATTTCATCACCAAAACGTTTAAAAGATAATTGAATCTTTTGTAATTCAGAAGAACCAATAGCTTTCTCAATATTTTTAACCTGAATTATGATGACTTGTTGATTAAATGTTGCAATAATATCAACACCAAAATCTTCTTGTTTGCAGGAGATTATATTGGCGATTAATCCATTCTCATTCAATAATTTCACCAATTTGTTTTCAAATTCATGGTCTATAAGATGATTAGACTGAAAAAATATTAACATGGATTCTTATTCACCACAAATTTATCATATTACTGTTGATCAAAACCAACTCGGCACCACCTGTTAAGGATATGAAGCATCTTTCAAGAATTCGAACATATCCTCAATATGATTATCATATATTCAGAATATATCTAAT